CTGTTCAGATATTTTTCTCACAAACAAATTTTTGTTAATTTTTAGAAAAAGGTTACTCAATTCGGAATACACTAGACCTACTAAACCCATTCTGAACATGAAAAAATTCACATTTGTACGAAAAATATGGGATTGCAGCACACTCCGACGCAAATATCCCAAAGGATTAAATGATCGGAACGGGTATGATTATTAAAGCGAATTAATATTTTTTCTGACGCTGTACAAGGATATCGAAGGGAACAACAGGGTTTCTTATTGTAAAAATATCTACCGAAGACCTTGAAATGTCGTAAAAAAAAAAAATGACCTTGAGAACAAAATTCTTACCACCGTTACACGTGCCCCTTGAAATCGAGTTATCAGAGCATAATTGTCCTTGGCAAGTTTTAGATTGTACAATGATAAATAAGGCAGATATTTAGGTGATTCCGTTCAGTGGTGGTCCGTCCTGTCGAACATGTTAGCGACGCCCAGATGTGTCTGTTCGGCGGGTAGAACATCCGGTACCGTGCCCGACGCAACCCACCCAACCCGACCCGACCCGACCCGGTCCAGAGTTGATTCCTGGTGCGTTTTACTAACGTTGAAAGCAATTTTAGTTAGATCTCTCGGAGTTAATAACAAGTTAAGAATACTTTGTGATATTCTGTCCTCCTCTGACACGCTACCCAAGCGGGGTCTATAGTCGGATCGAAAAATATAGCTCAAGGTCACCAACCCTCGACGACTCTCTCAGTTGGCCAGCCTTTTCTCATCGACTGGAGATAATACCGACGAAAACAGGAGCACTTTGACATGATGGTTCTTTTTCAAAAATTTTTTTCCGTTTTTCTCACGTCGATCACTCGTAACCATTTTCCCCCAACCTCGCCTTCGATCCACGCATGGACTTTGGGGAGTATACAGTAGCGGAGAAAAAAAAGCCATCACGTTTTCGGTTTGTTTTACTTTTTTTTTTTTATTTTTTTTAACGTGAATTTAAAAGAATGACCCATTTCAATTGACCCTCTTGAATATCTCCGAAACTGTTGACGATGTTGAAAAATATTTCAGATAAACGTTAAATGGTATTGGGGGCCACACTTTCTGATGCAACTTTTCTCTATGTGGAGGCGTAGAGGTCACATGAAGGTCACTTTATTTTTTTTGAAATGAAATGTATTTTTTAATGCACTAATTCGATATAAGTGACTTCGATATAAGTACTTTATGTAGGGTATACCGAGTAGCATCAAGTAGTGCATTACAAAATACACGATTCCATTTAGAAAAAATAAAGTTGACCTTCATGTGACCTCTATACGTTCATATAGAAAAAAGTGACATCAGAAAGCGTGTCCCCTGATACCATTTCACTTTTCCCCAGAACATTTGATTTAATATCGTCAATAATTTTGGAAATACTCTAAATCCAGTATATTATGGTTTTAAGTTGATGTTAACCCTCAGACACCACTTTTATTAATAATTGTAAAACTAAAATTTAATAATAATTGCAAAAATGAGAAATAATTCCTGTAACTATAAAAATTTGTTAGAAAGAAGTTGCCAATTTCAAAATCAACGGACGGAACAATCTTGGAAATTCACACTTGTCTGGTGTCCGAGGGTTACGAAATAATAAAAATCGGAAAAGTGATGATTTTTTTGTCCGCTACGCCGATCGATCTCGTGCTGCCACGATCATCGGCGATCTCCCGTGTGCACAGATCTCGTAGAAATTCTTTCACAGATTCCGTTTTCACGTACGGTTCGCGGATCTACGATAAGTGCCCGCTCAAGGTAACGCGAACCACGTTCTGAATAATTATACGAGCGTTAAGGTAAACTGTTAATGTTTCTGATGATAAATTTAGGCGACACAGGTAACACACACAACAAGGGTATTGTCCTCAGGTGCTCTGCGGGATGAATTCGGTAAAGTTAGCGAAACCCTGAAATCACCGTTGTTCGTTAGATTGTCGCTCGTGAAGAATTGATTTCGTATCGGTATAGAAACGAAATATTTGTCTTTTGTATTTTTTTTTATTGTTTTTTGATTATTCGAGATTCTTTGCTGTAAATCGTTTGTTCCTTGGTCAAACCTCTGTGCTTGATTCGAGCAAGCTAGCTGTGATTTATCGTGACGTGGAAAGTGATAGGGACAAAAATATATAAATTAACTAATTTTTTTCACTTTCGTATCGTAATAAAAGTTGTAGAATATCTGAGAAAATATATCTTAATATTTTAATCTTGTTTGGTTGTTCTAGTGTTAAATGTACTTTCCATAAAAAATAGGGAATTTTGTTTATCGGTGCATCGAATATAAGGTAGAATGTTTCAATAAAAAGTGCTCGATTCTTATAATAATATCATTTACAAGAAACATGAATTTCACGTAAATATCGATTAACGAAGCTGCATTCTTTCAAGAGTCGATCGAAGAAAGATGAAACGCGATTAATTCGGAGAAAAGTGTGTCGTTAAACGCGCGACAATCTAACGGAATAGACTGCGGACTTTATGCATTCATGGTACGCGGGAAACCTCCAAAAACGCAATAAAAAAAAAACAGAATAAAGAAACCTAAGTTTAAAATAATAAAGTTTCTATTTTATTAGGTGTTATGGAAACTTCTTCGGGTACAATGCTCCCGTTCTCCTTCTTCCCCCACCCCCTATCTCGTAAGCTGCCAGAAGACTAATTTAAAATTGTACAAAATAAAGAATACAAGATATTTCAACTAAAAAGAGCCCACACTGTAAATCTTATATTAATAAACAAAGTTCCAGAAAGAAAAAAGAAGGACCCCCATCCCCCGGAAGGCATTCTTCGACACCTAATATATACATATATGTATACTTTCATATGGCACAAAAAAGTGAAATTTCGGGTTCGATTCTCTCGACTGAAAATAAACCGTGAGTGGCGTGAATGTCCATAAATATCCGCAGTCTGCTCTACTAACAAACACAATCCGCAAAATTCAGGGCGTCTGCGACGTCCGTTAACACGAGGTGATCCAAAAAATTATTATTTATTTATTTTCTCGGTGATCAACAGCCAATGCCGTTACACTGAGACACGTGTCCTCGTTCCTTGACGGTGGTCGTCATGTTTAAAGGAGAAACTGTCAGAAAAATATTTCGAATTTAAACTGAATTGCCACTTTATTGAAAAGGAAACAGTGGATTACTTATTGGTATTTATTATAATTACTTATTGGTTACACCTGATAATATAATAATCGATTTTATGGATAATGATTGGACACCAGAGTGTGACTGAAATTTTCGAATTCGTTGGGTCTCGTTCGAATCTTGTGTAAATCGAAATTCAAAGATTCGCTCGTTTTTCTGCATCGTTTCGCCAGTCGACGGATGAAAGAGTTCTCTGTTGCCCGTCGCTGTGTGCTCGATATGCATGGTCGAGTGCCAACGTGTGACATAATCAACGGATGGGTCGGTTAACTTTTTGAAGCGCAGAATTTTACAACAACAACAACAAAAATGCTTTATTGCAGGGATATTTTTTTTTTAAATAAAATGTGACGAAATAATTTTATTTTCTTTATTTTCAGTAATTTCACGATTTGAAGATGGTACGAATAACGTCCCATCGTACACTATCTGTTAAAATCAGTACTTTTTTCAAAATTAATTTTTAGATCAACTGGACAGACTAAAGTGACCTATACACCAGCACGTTCGAGCGGACATTGTTCCCACAAAAATTCCAAAACGTTCAAACGTTAACAATTACCATCCGAGTCATCCATCCGTATTTTTCCTCGGGATCGAAACTTCGAGGGGTGGTTTCACCCCTTAAAGTCGCGTCTCAGCCGATAAAAAAAATACGTATCCCTTATTTTTGACTACTTAACAGACATACGAAGTTTCATCAAAATCTGAGGTGGACACTTCCGTGTCTTCCCTTGTTAGTAAATTTATTTCAAGTACTGAAATAAATGTTAAATCGCATATTAATTTGGCATAAATTTCAATGATTCCCGATACCAAAATTTAGGACGCCCTTCTACGCCACTTCATCCCTTAGCGGAAGCCGAGTTTGCCCGTGAGGGTACATTTGTCATAACTATCTAGAAAAAAAGCAGTACGTCATCAAATGTCACAAAATTTAAAAGAAACCATAAAAACAATTAATTGTTCACTGTAGCAATCAAAGAAGCAACTGACGTAACACCCTTCTTCTAGACACCCATTCCATCTACCCTTCGCTCAATCCATTCCCATACTCAACATACCGTCCGTCCAAACTTAACCCAAGCCCGCGACAAAAAAAAAAAGAAAAAAAAAAACACACACACACACACACACACACACAAGAAACACGCAGAAAGAGCATGTCGATACCTCCGATCTTCGACTCCCGGATGGTAAAAAGAAATCGAATTCCCGCGTCGCGAACGGGTGGCGTTTGTCCCGCTCGTCGTGTCACTTCGGCCGAGCGTTCGTTCCCAGTCGCATCGCTTCGGTCACCGTCCCGCCAGGTGGTGTACACGAGGCTCGTCGAAACGCAGGTGAGACGTGATTTTGTTCGCGGAATACGCGGTTCTGAATAACCGTGCGGACCGTGTACGCGACACGTTGAATATTTCTATAAATAATCCGATGTCCCGTTCGGTCGCGTGCACGGCCAGAGAGGGTAGAGAGTCCGGTTTAGAAGTCGCTGCAACGGGCTTGTGTCTCTCGTATCGAATCTCTCCCCTCACTCCCTCTTTCTATTTCTCTACCATTCCCGGTGGGGTCGCGACGACCCCAACGAGACGTGTAACGACGACAGAACGGTTCACGGGGTCAAGACGTCGCGTGGTTACGTTTTCCGCGGGAACAACACGTCGTCGACTGGAGTATCAAAGATCGTGAGTAGCCCCCACCTGAAGCCCGTGTGAAACGACGGTCGGCGACGTCAGGTAGGCGACGGAGAGGAAGAAACGCGAACTGGAGGTGGATAAAGTCGAAGAATCTCCGTGAGAAGGAGGGGGTGAGGTGGGGATGGAGTCGGAGCAACGAGGACGGGCTTCGCGGGCGTCGTCTACGTCGAGCCTCGGACGCGAGGTCCGTTGCGGTTGTCAGTACTACCAGAGCGACTCGCTTCTGCCGGAACGACGTGCTCTTCTCGGTAGACCGCCGTCCAGGACGATGCAGCAGCCGCCTGCGGTCCGCTGCAGGTCAGTAAATAAATGTTTACGGTTGCACGTGAGATCTTTCGGGCACGAATCGTTTATCCCTATCCCCTAAATCTTGTAAATAAGCAACAGTCGTATCGGTTCCGTGGAACGAACCTTAGCCTGTCTAGGTCCTGTGGAAGGGATTTCCAGGTCGTTTCAACGTGAAAATTCGACACCTATGATCACGGTATAGGTTACCCACGGTCCGTAGACTATGGCCTCGCGGATCATCGCGGCTATTTAAGGTTCGCCCGGCTGGCTATACATAGAATCCTCGATCAGCTCGACTCGGTTCCGCGTCCAAACCTCTTGCCGCGATGCCACGCTCTAACGGTGGATTTACTACACGCTTGGATACGTGTGTGGGTTGCGGGAGGGAGGAGGGGGGCTGTGATCGACTGGTGGCGCTCAGCCATCCACCGACAACAACCCCTGCCACCCCTGTCGTGACTATGTACAGGGGTGGGATGAATTGACGGGGATAGGGGTGGGAGGGCACGATCGAGTGGGCATCGGGTTATTGTATCGTGGTAATAGGAACACTGGTATCGACGATCGGAAGCGACGTGATAACGCGAGAACGTCGGGGATAGGATGATAACCGGCTCGACCCCGAGAGGGCTAACGATGTCGAGGATTCTTGAGGGATGGTCCAGCTCCGGTGTTGCAAGATTGGACGATTTATCGCGATTCGGGTGACTTTCATTTTTTCACTGAAATTGCGATATGAATTTGTTTTTTCGGAGAGATCGAAAATCGTATATTCGGCGCAGTCCGATCACCGGGAAAGCTTCGTACAGGACCCTGGTACTTTTGAAACGTTTTTCAGTGTTCTAGGACGTTCACCAACCGATCTAGTAGTTTCTTCTCGTCGTATAATAATAATGATAACACGAGAGTTAGATATATGAGTGTAATAGTTTTTTCTTCTGCTGGTAGGAATTATTTTTCCATGTAAATTGTTTTCGTGTAGTGTTCCATTGACCAAATTTTTCTTTCGGAATCTGTCCTCAGTTGCAAAATTATGAAAAACATTCTTGAGTACTGTTTAAAAATTGTTGTAAAGAACCGTTTTTCAAAACAGCGTTTTCGTTGCGTGAAAGTGAATTCGTGAGGCAGTGGTATTTTTTGAGTACTAAAGTAGTCCGTCATTTTTCATATTCTTGGTGGAGGATTTTTTTACCAGAACATCGTAAAACTTTGTGGTATCGGACTTTTGCACGCATATTTATTCTTTTTAAGAATATTCAACATCTCTGTTACATGAATGTAATCAAAATTAACCGAATTATAAATCATTTAGTACTGTCCATTTATAAAGATAGTGTCTCACTGGCAAACACAATTTCGGTTACTCTGCTTATTTGAAGCGACAAAAGTTGATTTGATGTGAACCAGCATGAAAAGAAATATCGAAAGTTTACAGACTCCAATCGCATTTCTCTCGAAACCACGTTCTCTGACCCGGTTGACAGCACATTTCGTGACAAGAATATGGCAGAACCTTGAAAGCCTGCGTGGGTATATAAAAATACATTGTTTATAGTACCACGTGCCAATTTTCGTTAAAGAGGTGAACCATCCTTTACGCATAAAAAAACATCGCAGTGCGTATAAAATTTCAATTCAACAAACATGCTCGAAAAATCAAGACTATGATCTCTCTAAAAACATTACATTTCGTTACTATCGTGTTCGTTTAACCCCTGAATATCACAATATTAATTAACTTTCACCGTAGAAAATAATTACTCAACTTGTACTTTACCATTAATCAGTGTTTTGTCTTTGATGCAGTACTCCCGCTAGATCCGAAGAAACATACCTGAATATCGAGTAATAAGGACACAAGTTCAACCAGTGTCCTCCTCGATACATCGTCCTCCTGCTGCTCCATCCACGAATTAACAATACGTCCGAATAAACAATAACGATTAACCCAGCCAACATCGTCGTTGGAACCGCCGCCACTGGAACGGCACCGCCCGTCCGACTAATGTCTGCTTTTTCCACTTGATGCGCTCCAAACTCCAGCGACACGAACACGAATTGAGAACGTCGAGAAAACGATCCTGAAACTGACAGGTTGACTGTCGGGGTCAAGTCGGGGAGAAAATGCGGTCAGACATTTCGTTCGAGGGTCGAGCACAAAACTCGTTGCAAATAACAAGACTGATTCTGAAATCGACAATATTGGTCCAGTAAATCGTACAAAATCCCGGTCAAGCATTTTGCTTGGGAGGGTCGGGCATAGAATTCCGAGCTGATTATACAGATTTTAATTGCTAAGACTCAATCGGAAACTAACAGTATTAGTTGACCAAATTGTGATAAATTTTGGTCAAGCATTTTTCTAAAGGGTCAAGCATAAAATTTCGATTACACGGGTGATAAACGACAAGACAGGGTCTTAATTATCAGTATTATTCGTCCGAATCGTACATTTGATTCCGATCGGAGAATGTTATTTTGCTCAAAACGGTAAATAAAAAGACTGAGTCAGGACTTAATCGGTCGACTGAATCACGCGAATATTTTTGCGGTCAAAGTTCTCCTTAGATTCAAGCGGTTCCAAGTTCTCCTTAGATTTCCGAGAACCTTAACAAACACGGGAACAGACGCGAAAAAAACCAACATTAACTAAACAACAATCGACCTTCCCCCCCCCCCCAAAAAAAAACAGGATGTCCAAATCCATCGATACTCGAAGCGACCGAAACGCTCGAGACCCCTGCTAAATACGCTACAAGAAGTTTCTCCTCGAGATCATTTTCTGACTAAAACAACTAACCCGCACGGAAAGGCTGCCCTGCAAAATGCCCGTAAGAGCGCGAAAAAAACGGGTGCATTTTTACAACAGCGAGCACGAGTACGAACCGATCGCGGCGCCGACGCCACGACCGGCGTTCGCGCCGGTCGTGAGGATCACCGACACGGACGTGATGCCCGTCGCTGACAGCGACGAAAGCATCGACGACCGTTCGCGTTTGCCGCCCGAGCTGACGCAGGCCGGCGATGTACGGCTACCGTTGGACGGCAAGATCGAGGACAACGCGATGGAGGGCCGGGAACTCGGCGAGACCGGCGGCGACACATCCGAGGAGATGGAAACGCCGCAACAGCTACAGGATCGTCTGGAGGAGAGGTTCCTGAGCGCCCCGACCCCCGGTGCCGAGTCAAGGACGGACGGCGAGGTCAACACTAGTCAGGTGAGCAAAGTAAAAATACAGTAAATCGTCGATGAGTGTTTGGAAGACTCCTTGGTACTGAGAATCAAAAGTGCCCAGGTGTAACGATGAGTTTTTAATGAGGTTTAAGAAGCCAATAAAAAATATAGAATACTGACTATAGAGTTCTGAATATACAGGGTGTAACAGAAATAGGTTACTCGTGAGGTGATTTGGAACAAGTTTTTAAAATACTGAATATAAAATACTAAATATTGAATGTAGAATACTGAATGCTTGAATACTATGTAAATTGAAAATTCTGAGTAGCAAGTATCCAGTACTAAGTACTGGGTACTGGATACTAGTTATTGAATACTAAACACTAGATACTGTATAATGTATATCAGACAGTAAATACTAGATACAAGGGCTAGATACTGCACACCAACTACTGGACATTAGATACTAATTAGACACTAGTTTCAAAATTGAAAATACTAGACGATATGTCAAAAAGCGAACAGATCCACTACGAATCTACATCCGCGATGCTAATGAAACGTCAGAAACGATTCGACTATATTCAGAGACAACAAAATTTCCCGACGCGTAATCTCTGCTTCTTGCTCACTAACTACGTTTAATTCTGTCTCTTATCCACACGGTCACTAATCGACAGACACCGCCCGTGACGGTTGAAACACGGTGGCGATAACAAGAGAAAAACGATCGTCATTATTCTTTCCTGACGGCCTTCCCCCCAGACCAAAAAAGACATAAGATGGACGTTCCAGGGACGTCGCGTGTGGGCAAATGTAACAACTAAAAACACAGTCGGGTGAGAACATTGTGACGGAACGAGGCGGCCCGAGAGAGGAATTCCGCCGCGGCGTTTTCCGTTTGTTGCCCACCGCCGGCGCCTATATTTAGCGGAAACGCCCCCCCCCCCCCCCCCTCCAAAAAAGCATCAGAGCCAACGTGTCACTGTCCGCAAGCCGCGCACTATGCAATACGCGGTGGTGTTGCAACTTGCAACACGTTTCCAGAACGCTCTCCTCGGGCCTTTCCCATCCGTTGCACAACACTCTTCAAAAATATACCCAGGATTTCTGCCGTTAAAACGACGACGACAACCACGCCGTCGATCGACCGTGAACACGCGTGCCACGCACGGACGCACCGGACGAACCGGTCGGTGATCGGCGCGCGAGGTTACGTAACCCATTGAAAGCAGCGCCCCCCCCCTCCTCCGGTGAAAAAATAATACACTGACATAATCGACGGCGTGCGTTCCCCCGTCTATTTCTAGCCTGCGAGACGCTTTCGGGCGACTTCGACGGAGCGCGGAGAAGGGTCTCTCTGCCCCATTAAATTTACGCGCGACACACTAGCTGAAAGTACGACTCGCGGCGAAATTACGGACCGAGCTTTTATCGCGTCCGATTGTGTCGTACGAACCATCTGTTTCGGGCAAGATGGCGGAACGTATTCGATACCCAAATAGTACATGACGCCTCGAAGACGTTCATTTTACGACTATTTTAGGTCCAAGGCGCCTTTAAGCCGTCTTTAAGGCGTCGTTATACGTCATGTGCTATCTGGGTACTTTCGATTATAGATCTGTGTTTTCTACATAAAATTGTTAACGGACAAACAAATAATACAAGGATCATAGCACTGATAAACTTCAATACTCCTGCCCCGACCAGTTAGAGCTCCTTTTTTTAAGGAGACCTAACCTCACTTTTCAGACCTTCACCATATACATCCAGATTTAACAATAGTGACCCAATTAATTGAATCTGTACGCAAGCGAACAATTCTAGCAACCAAATTGAGTTTTTTACTCCGGATACTAAAGTATTCGAGACTAAAATCTACCGGGAAATAGAACGCACCAAACCTTAAGCTAAATATTCCGATATACTCGTTACATATGTATCTTTGTAGACCTGTCACTTATACAATGTAATATATTTGTAAATTAATGGACTTTGTCCCGTGGAAACAAATATTACTATTATTCTTCGGGTAAAGGACGTCGAGGTGGCCCAATTCTTGAAAATATCGTTCCTGTTCGATCGAACACGTGCACGACGCCGTTGGTTGCACGATATTTGCGAGAATTGGGCCATTGATACCTTCGACGTTCTTTATTCGAATAATCGAGAGTATCGTTCCCGTTCGATTGAACACGTGTGCACAATGCTATTGGTGGTTTTCTCACCAAGGAGATATCGTTTTTTTTTTTTCATGAAAATTGGGGTCACCGGTTTGAAGTCTAGATCGTTGCGGATAGATGATGGTAATAATACAACGTGTATGTACAATAAGTAGACCGCAGATTTTATGCATTTATAGAACATCCAATCTTCGGAAATCAAGCTTAACAAAATAAATTCTAAAGGGTGGCATATTTTTTCGCAAAGTAAATCCAATACGGATGGGCAAATACTAGTAGTAGTGTATATGTAGAAACTAAAAACAATCGCGACGACAGTAACGACAATATCTTCCGAGGGGTCACAATATCCAATCATCTACTCTCGACGCAAGTCACGTTCCATCAACCGTATAATTAACCATACGCGAACCGATTCAACGATGCCAATTCTTTTATTTCAGGTAGACTCGTTGGCATTGGAGGAGCTGCCGTTGCGTCGCGGTGCCCGCGGTCTGCCCCAACGACTAAAGACGCAGGCCGGAAAGCTGCGCACACGTTTGCGGAACATTCAACGTCCGTCGTTCGCGTTCGCGGACAAACCGAAACCGGAGAAACCGCGATCGGCCAGTAGCGGTCGTTCGGACCGATCCAGAACCGAGAAACGACCGAGCCGTATGGAGAGGATCAGATCGTCGTTCTCCGATCGGCCGCGATTCAGCCTGCCGAATCGTCCGAGATTCTCGTTACCGGACCGTTCGAAGTTCCATCTGCCGGAACGGCCGAAGTTCAATCTGCCGGACAGACCGAAGTTCAATCTAAAGAAACCGAATATACGGCTGCCGAACGCGTTGACACGCGCGAAGAAACCACCGTCGGACGAGCAACGGTCCACGGACTCGACGATCGGTTCACGTCGGAACATCTTCGATTTTTCCACGTATCCCCGTATATTCGACAAGAAATCGAAAACGAAAGGCGAGTATGCGACGTCCACGCCGAAGGACTCGCGAGCACAATCCGCGGAGAGCTCGACGTTGCCCAGAGCGCAAAAAGGCGCGGCGCAGAATTGGGCGCAGAGATTCGAGGAGACCGCGTACATCGATGAGGATCGTTCGGACGCGGAGACAGCGGCCGAGAGATCCCGACCGTGGCGACATCCGTCGCTGGAGCAACCGAGATTGTCCATCGGGGTCGCGGACGAGGCGTTGGCTTCGATGCCCTGGGAGGAGAAACGTAGGCAACAACAGTTACAGTACACGGAGTACGAGGAGTCCGTCGAGACGTCGGATCGCCAGGCTCCACCCACATCGGAGACCTCGAGAACGGAGGGGGAGGAGTCGTACGACGGGGAACGAATCGAGTTGTCCGAGCCGAGACTGTACGCCGAACGGGACAGGAAGGAACGTATAGAGGAGGACAGGGAGGATTGGGTGCTGGAGAAACAGATGGTCGAGGAGGATTTTCGACCGATCCCACGATCACGATCCCTGGAAGAAGTGATGCGCGCCCGGGGTGACGAGCAATATGAGGGCTTCGCGATGGTCGATCCGAGAAGATACGGTGTCCACAAGACCCCGTCGGAGGAGGAGGAAGAGTACGAGGAAGAGATGGAGGAGGACGAGGAGCTTGAACCGTCGTCCGCGCAGTCGGACAGGGAGCAACAACATTCGAGCGGTAGCTCGTGCGATCGACGTAGACGAGGTGTAATAGAGGAGATCGATTCCGACGAGTTTTTCCTGCGTGAGAGCGGGCTCAGTCAGGGCGACATGAACCTGGGCAAGTATCTCACCCACGAGATACGAGACGCCCTACGTGCGGAGGCGGGAAACGCGCTCGCTGACGAGGACATGATGCCCGTTCCTCCGCAACGTCCGATGCGTAAGAGGGCGTTACGAAAGCAACCGCCGGAGGGCCTGGCCGAGTCCTACGACGCGTTGCCGCCGGTCAGGCCGAAACGGGACCAGAACAGGGTCCGTCGAAGCGAGTCCGCGGACGAACCGTATCGTGAACGGACCAGAAGCGACTCCAGGCACCGTGTGGTGTACCAGGCGGAGGATATCCAAGACCTCGGCCCGCCGGAGCCGCTGGACGATATAGTAGTGGTGAAACCGATACGCAGGAAGTCGAGGTCCTCGCAGCGCAGCCAGTCCCAGGTGCCATCGGAACCGACCAGGCCACCGTCGCCAACACCACCGACCCCACCTGTGGTCCCCACGAGGCGGAAACGTTTCCGCAAAGACACGTTACCGTCAGCGGAAAGACGAAACGGAGAGGCGGTGCCTGTCTGCAACGGTCACACCGAGTGGACGGGAGCCGACTCGATCCCCGAGAAACCAATGGCGTTGCCTCACACAGCATTGGATCAACTGCCAATAGAGCAAGTAGTGTACATGGCCGGGGACATCATGACGACCAGCGAGGAACAGATTCAAAAGCGGTTACAGGACGACGAGTACATGGAGCCAGCCCCGGTTCCACCGAAGAGGAGATCGAGATCCAGAGGTACTTCCATCGCCCAGGACGAGGACCGCACCTCCCACGGCGCGGAATCGTTGCCGGAAGCCGGTTACGTGGAAGAGGACATTCCACGGGATGACATCGATTTCGGACGTGACCTCTCCGGTTACGCGATCATCGAGAAACGGGAGAAACCACCGAGACCGCCGCCGCCAAGACGGAAAAAAGAGAAATTCGCGACCACCCCAAGAACCGTCATGCCGAAACGGCCACAGCGTGCTTACAGCACCCTCGGTCCAGGAAGGACACGGGAGTCTGACATGCTGTCAGAGACGTTCGTCGAGACATGGGAAACAACCGAGTCCGCGCCGTACATCGAGATCGATTCCGACGACGGCGAGCAAAAGGATCTTCGAAGCACCGATGTGCTCAGCAAGATGCAGAGACGTCCCCTACCAGCCCCGCCCAGACCACCAAGAGTTAGGAAAGAAAGATCATTGGACAGATCCACCCCGGTCACGCAAGAATTCTCTATGGAGACCACGGCGGCCACGCAAACGGACCCGTTGCCCGACGACATGGTTATCGAGGAAGAAGTGACCCAAGCGAAGCTGATCGTCGCCCCGTCTAGATCCGGCTCTCAGATCATGGTGTCCACCGAAAGGATACCAACCGTATCTGCGCCACCTGTCCCGCCTTTACCGTTGTCGCAACAACGTTCACGAAAAGAAGAACAGACGGGACCCACGTACGACACCGTCTCCCTAAAAGCTCCCTCCCCACCGAGAGAACTGGAAACACTGGAGGACAGGCATCTGTCAGCACCGCACTTGGAACCATCTCGCGAGGAACCGGCTCGGGATGAAGAAGCGCTCATACGATCCATTCGTTCCGCCCTGTTGTCCGACGAACCGGTACGAATCAGCAACCTAGAAGTAGGGGACCTTAGAGTGGATCGATTGAGCGTGTCGCAGATCGAGGCGGGAAAGATCATAGCGTCGGAGGTGGACGCGTTAGTAATCACCGCGTCCGAATTGAAAAACATAGGCGGCGGCCTCGAGGAGAGTGTGTCCCCGTCGATTATCCGGGAACTGATCGCCATAAGAAGCCATCTAGAGACCGTGGCCGCGTCCCGTGTTCAAGACGACCAGAGGCGTTCGATCGAGGCGACGGAAAGAAAGACAGACATTCCGGTCACGGACAGGCACAGCATACCATCCCGGGAGCCACAGGATCAGACCACCACCCTTCGACAGAGCCCCGCGGATCCCGGGGATGAAATGCCGAGCGACGATCAAAAGGTTGTTAACAGAGAAGTAATCGAAGCGAGGGACAGAAAACCATCCATAACACACACACTAACGGTCGCACAAGTAGAGATCAAGGAAATGCCGATAACACATCATACAATATCAGTCGTTCGTGTAGACTCTAACGACAGCGATAATATCCCTAGCACACATTCATCCCCAGTCCCAAAGAGTATTGAGGATAAGCCGTTACGAATTTCTGATTCAGAAACCCCCCTTTCTTTGAGCACGGGCACCGCTAAGGAGCCGAACGTGGACGAACCCCGCGCGTCCCCTCCCTCGTCCATAGAGACTGCAGAACCGGTCACGGAGTCAGGGCTACCTTCGGAGCGGAAGCAACGTTCGCGGTCGGCCAGCGAAGAACAAGAACCGATCGAGTCAATACCACCGGTGGAATTCGCGAGGTTACAGGGAGAGCCCAGAGACAGGGATAGTTCCCCCGATGGATGCTTCCCAGGTACCGAGCAAAAGCCACGGAAGTCCAGATCAAGATCACCGTCCCCCATAGGTATCGGCCGCACGCGACAAACCGCTTCCCCTGTGCGATCGTTGCCGCCCGCGATTTCCGTGACGCCGGACACACCGGACACTGTCATGAGTCACGGTATCAGCAGCAACGAAACACAACCGCAACGGGCCATTATCTCGTACTCCTCGCACGCGGAGCTGTCGGACAGGGAGAGCCAAAGGGAGTCCTCCCAATCACCGATAACCTCGTTCCCTATAAGCGGGACCCATCTCATAGCGTTCCCAGTTACCGAGGTTCCAGCTCATTTTCTATCCCTGGCCTCGCCGCCGAATCAGCGTACGACCGTCGAGCCAAGTGTCGCCGACAGTGCCAGACAATTGCTAAGAGTTCTCCGGCTGGCCGGTATAAAGGCGATGAGACACTTTGTAGGTTATGTGTCATCAATGGCGGGCGTCGAGGAAACGCGGGAAAAGATCCGCGAAGTGGAGTTAACGTTATGCGCCCTCCTACTTCTGATCGTATGCATGCTGATATTCTTTTTCAGTAACACACGAACAGTGACGCATCATCATCATTGGGATTACTTCAATCCACCGAAATAACACGCGGCGGAATGCAATTTCACACGAAGGTACTGTAACGGCCTCCTTATAATAGCGCTTCGTCGCTACCACATGACGTATAACGTGGACTTACGTCATACACGTCACACATTCTGTATTTTCCCCGTTCTCCCTCTGACACACGCTTATTGCTGTCCCTATTTTGTTTCCGTCGGAAACGGTGAAACGAGTGGTCCAGCGAATAAGACGATCGCAAAATCGTGTTCTTTGACTCCCTACGAACCGAGCTGCGCGATTATTATGGAGAGAATACTGTACCTGTGATATTGCACACGATCACGACGTGATGTACATGTTTGGGGAACCGGGGTGGATTATTTAAGTATTTAAGCGTGTCTTGCTTGTTGGAACGAATCGACGGTGAAAATAAAGAGGACACACGAAATATGATCCTCGTTCAATTTGATATTTTCGAGAACAAAAGGAAATACCGAGGTACAAGTTTGGGGATAATATACAATATAACGGATGGGTGTCACCTCGAATAGCTCAATGCTCTCTATTAAAAATCCTTATTCTTATAAACTGATTTTATATATTCAAGATTGAATTTTTAGAAGAAACACTGTAAACATTGGTAACATAAAAGAGGATAGAGCTAGGATCTTTATAAGATGATAACGATTAAGAATGTAAGAAATTGTAACGATTTTTGTCGAACAATTTTGATAGTCCTGTCCTCCAGTTGAACAACGTATTTACAGGAAAGTACGAGTCATACATAACTAATAACAATATGGAGAACAATGATTCTCATAATCTGAAAATTCTTAATGATGCTACATACGACGACGAATGATTGATATCTGTGAGAAAATGACAGTTGCGAATAATTTGTTACGAGATTACTTGTACTTAATGACTAAGTGCCAAATATGTATAAAATCGATATATGTTAATTACAAATACCTATTACTGAAACCAGCATTTTAACAACCATTTCATTCTTTACTGATACAAATCATAAGCAGTAACACTCACACTCGAAATTCCAATAAAAAATCTAGTAATTGTCAAGGTATAGGAGGAATATAACATACTTTAACATTCGACTAGATACAAATTTACAATAATAATACGGTATCATAAAAATTAAAGAGCACAATGAAGAGAGAATATTGTTTGAAACCTTATAAATACTAAAGACTATGTACAGTTTATTTTGAAACAAGACTTTCAACATTTTAAGTTTGTAACAACGAAATCCGTCAAAAAAAGGAACGGTAATGAAAAAATATTGCATTCACATGAAAAGATCTTCCTCGTACACTTTCAAGTCTCTCCTATCTTTGTGTGCACTCTTTTGTGAATAATTTGCAGCAATAGGTGACCACATCAAACTGGATGTAACATCATTCATAGGTTCTATTATAGGTTGCCTTCGTGCTAATGATACTTTCAACTGAATAGAGGATACCATGCTACCATCCATTTCACTGATTGCCCTTTCAGCTGCTTCTGATTTATCGAATGTCACAAAGCCTCGACTGAAAAGTAAAATTACCTATTACTATAAATTCACGTTATCTTAACCGGTAAACTATCGGTAATCAAATTATACGTGCTTTTTTTCTGCCTCCATTGAAATATTAATTATGTTTCCAAATGTCTGAAAATGTTTCTTTAAGAAATCCTCAGATATTTTGTAACCACATACAAATATTGTGTTCCCTGCACGTGGTTTCATTTCCTGTTTCAATGGTGATTGTGTATCACCAGTGGTACGATCTTCTGTGTCTTGTGCACTGACAAAACTATCATATAAATCTTTGACTCTTGGTCGTACAGCTTCTGTTTCTTCTTCTTCCATCTGTGTCGCCGAGAACGGTTGATAAGAGCTAATTGTTTTCTCTGTGCTGTTCAATTTTCTTACTAATCCACGTGGCCTTTTAAATGATTGTTCTGGTCTTTTTGGAGTCTTTGGAGCTGTAATCACTCCTGATTTAATCAATTTCTTAGCAACTTCCCTGGCATCTCTTGCTTCTGTTGGTCGTTTTGGTACTTGTGGCACACGTTCAACTTCTTGTTTCGGTGCTTTTAAATCTTGCAAAGCTTTTTTCTTTTGTAACAAATAAAGGAAAATGTAATAGTACTGTAAGTATTATGAATTCATAGCACATGCAACTGAATAAAATAGATAAAAGTAAAGCCCTTATATGAAATTTTATATGGACTTTGTTTTTATCTTTATTCAGTAAAATCATTCATTTTTCTAATATACTTAGGTTTCATTTCAATAAATAAACTAATCACAATTTGAATGTATAAAATTTTATTGCAAAATGATTAGTACAGAGTAACCAGATTTTTGTTTTGTGTGAAACCTGATAAACTTCTTAATAGAATAAGCAAATTTCTGCTTTAATACAATTTTGAAAAATTGGTCCATGAAAATCTATATTTACACATATCTACAATTTAATAATAACAATATAAACATAACCTGATATGTACCTTTCTTTTAAGCTTGTTATATTTCGCTTGTAACATTAACTCTTCCTCTGTTAAATTCGATGGAAAGTGTAAGTATACCATGTTTTGCATGTAACGAATGCAAATATAAATAATTTACTTTCTATATAAATATTTCACGAAAGCATACAGAGCTCGTGTTTACGTTTACTTCAATCCTTTGAAATATGTTACATTTTTACGAGATACCCTAGAATCAAAATATATATATACACATATATATATATATATAGTTGTTCCACTCGAATACCCTAAAAGTCATCAGCAGAGGAGCTTTCTCTTATACCGTGATATTCGATGACATGTAACGTATTAAAACGTGCAAAAAGACGTGTAAATTCGATGTTATACATTAACAGTAATTGATTGTATCATTTTTAATTAATATTAATTTTTTATTTAGAACGCGAACGAAAAGACTTGTAGTGCCATTTATGGCAAAACTATCAAGCTGCTGAAAATTAGTACCACGTGCCTGTCAAGAGATAGCACCACTTTTCAAGTTCGGGACGAATGGATAAGGACAGTCGGAAAGATATATAGTGTCATCTTCGGCAAAGCTCGAAAGCTACTAGACAATGAGTACCGTTCTCTGAATCTTAGATAGCACCACAAGGCATTTGAATCATCATCTCAGGAAGAAGAAGTGCCGCCATCATCACATAATTATTATAAATTTAAATTTTAAATTCTAATATAGATTTGCAATTATGTTGTAGCAATGCACTATTTAAAATTATCTTGAGCAATTTCAAAGCATTGACTGACGTTCCTTGAAGCTAAATAAGCAGTGTATGAATAATTAATTGTTTGTTGCTGCGTTATTAATTACTCAAAAAATAGCAAAGATTAAAGGCGACTGACAGATCCAGCCAAAAAACAAAACAATTTGATCAAACGAAATAAATAATTACTACTTGTTGCATTTTTCACAACATGTGCTAAATTTCATATACTTCGGAAACACACTGCCGAAAATTAAAACTATATTTATAAGCAATGCATACAGTGTTATTCTAATTTCCATTTAAACATGTCGTTTGGAGTGCCCGCGCGAATCAGCTGGTATTTCTAGCCACCTAGTGTAGAGTTCGCCAGACCTGATCCCAGTGTGGCGGATTCCCACAGTACTCTGTTCTCTATACGTATTCTGAGAACTTGGGATTTGATGGTATATATAATAATCGACTCGTGAACTGCGCTTTGTAATTGACTTTATTAAACACGTGTCTTGGAGTTTTACATTAGACTGACCGCATACTGCATGAACAGTCATTACCGCTCTAATAACCCATAAATATAAAAATCTCTATGAGCTAGGAACTATGTTATAGATGGCGTATGTGCTACTTGCACAGACGTACGCCACACCAGTCGTTATGAAATATGGCGTAAAGTGAGTGTTACGCATGTGTCAGTGATTTCGGTAAGGAGTCAGTCTTGTTGCTGCATGTATTTCAATCAGCATACGGAAACACATATTGGTTAGGTTTCGCACGATAAAGAACCATTAAGTGATCGTAAATATCTGAGCGAGTCAATAAATTTTAAACGACGATTTGTGGGTATAAACTGTGACGCAGCAGCGACTATATGGCCAGCCATTTCATAAGACCGATAAGACCTTCGGATACGTTTGTTTCTTGTTATATAGTGTCGGGTTAACAAACTGGTGGACTAATGCGGCATCAATTCGATGTTTCCGTTTCCATTAGACTGTTAAATATCACCATCAACCTGTGCGTTTCTACACGAACAACATCCCGCCGATCGACACGAAAAACATAAAGGAACCGTCCCTCTCTAACTCGCTTCCACTAGCACGAGAGTGCATTCCGATCTTCCCTGCGTGTTGTACCCTCGATTTTAGTTCGTCTAAGTCCCTGTTGCTTTTTCATCGTATAAACATTTTGAAACTCAACTACTCTAGTCGCACGTTCTTCGTTTTCGGTCTCCCTACACAACAGAACCGAAAGGAAACTCCGAGAAACAAGCCAGTGCTCGTGGACCCTTCGTTTTGCGACTTTTGTTTATGTACATGCTCGCACCAGTAACTCGTATTAGGCACGATTTTCCGAGTGTCGCGTTCGCGGTGTAGAATAACGGCCCTGTTTCAACCCTAAAATTTCCGACTCCGTCGTCTAACAATCGTTTCTCCGTTTGCCTGAATGGAAAGAAAAGGTTCTGCGTTTTGTATTCGTAACGAACATAAAATAAGGGACACGATGTTCATTGTTAATCTAAAAAATCATTCGATTAAGCACGTTGATGGTAAAATGTAATTTTCTTACCATGCAATATCGTTGCCAGTTAAAACGTTAGTTCTACAATTAAGTACTGGTTCCAGTTTCTGTGGACCCAATGTAATAATAATTTTCGATTACTTTAAATATTTTAGACTGAAAGGATCAGTGTATGTACCTGGACTGGATTCTGTAATATATTCTGACACAAAGCATATTCCCCATAAAACGGGACTGTTAGGTAAGTTGCAACTATATAAAATAATAATTATTGTAATAATTAATTTGATAAAAATAGATGTGTAGTAACTTTGTTTTCAGTTAAATGTTCGTGCCTGTTGAATTAATATTTCTTAAAATCTTGAAAATGTTAAATCTATTTTAATTCATTGAATTAATTTAATCATTAATCTTCATTAAAAACACTTCAGATGTGAAACTACTTGTATTTTCAATTTTGTACTGGAAATATCTTATTATCGCTTGCATTAATACTTTTATTTTATTAACGATTTATTATGAAATGGTTTATACAATTATTAAGTTGTACTTTTGTTAGTTGATTGTAAGCCTTCAATTATTTGGCAATATCTTTCTTGGTGAGTGGGAAAGAAAAAGGGAAAAGAGGGGAGAATTCTGATCTCAGAGAAGAGAGCCATTTTCCAAGTCTTCGTTTAGACATTCTAAATATAACTGGAGGCTCTATAGGCTTTACTTACTGTGTCATACTGTGCAGAGTAGTATCTCACCGTGTTGCGTAGATTTCACTCATTTTCCACCTTTACTATGGCAAGGTGCCAATTCTGTTTTGTCTAAAAATTAATGATCAATTTGTAATAATTATTTCAAAAGATTATTTCTATTAATTCAAAGTGATTCTCTTTTTACTTCCTGGTAATACAAAAACTAATATTTGTTAGTGTAATACCTTGATGTTAACAATATAAAATTATATTAATCCATCAGGTATGATGTCTAAGTAACATATCCATGTATTTCTGCTAATGGCTAATGACCATATACTTTTCTGAATCATGAGTCTTTAATAGCAGTGAAAAAAACTATAAATAGCAGAAAAATATAATGGTCTATTTAAATATTTTATCTAGTAATATATAGTTGTAAGAATCGAATTTAGTAGATAGAATGTTATAGGTCACAAGAAGATACAAGGTGTTAATGAATCAGTTAATTAAATAGTAAATTCTTACAAATAAAAAAACTAAGGTGAAACTGCAATTTTGTTACTTTTGATTTTGTCTTTAGTACATAGAATCACCTTTTAAATTTATGGATACCTGCTATTGAACATTGTGTATAAGTCGTCAACAGAATTTTCCACCATGCTTCAGAGCACATATTACATACAGAGAATAAATAATTTATTAGTATTTTAATTTTGTTACAGTAATATTTACTAAAGAGAGAGAGCCATTTATAATATAACATAGCAGAATTAAATATATTTCAAACAATAAACTTCTTTGTTATTGATTAGACAATACTTTGAAAATTAATGTCTTTGTCCTAAGTCAGTCATTTAATCCTTTTGTTATGTTTTTTATTACAGATCATGGTTCTTAAGATTGAAACATGTCTGATTGAGTGTCATTTGTTTGGTGGGACGAAAGATAATTGTATCTCCGATGTATATCCTCTATATGAAACCACCTGTGTTAAGGACCTTTATATTCACGTTGAAAAGCATTATCAATTGCCACCAGACAGCTTTAAGCTGTATTTAGTATCAACAGGAAAACAGGTTAGTAGTCGCATCGTGTTCTTGTATTGTATACATTACTGTATTTTTTGTACTTGAATTAATTTGATTCCATTGCTATCAGACTGATTTATGTGGAATGAAAGATAAACTTATGTCAGAAATCGGTGTAGATTTTTCTGACAAAATATACAAAATGAAAAATAAATGCACAGTCTTAGTTGTGAATACGATAGATACTTTAACACAAAAAGAAACTGAATATGATGTATCTACGGATAATTCGCCACCAGTATCTCCTCAGCATACAATACTTTGGGGAGAAGATGATAATGATGATTTCAAATGTTTTATCAAACCCAAAACAGGTATGTGATAAATATACATTATAATATTGTTATTCTGTTAACACACATTTCACAATCGTTCCTGTAAGTTTCAATTTCAATACGTTATTATTTAAGGTTACGTTGGTTTAGTAAACCAGGCAATGACATGTTATTTGAACAGTTTGCTCCAAGCATTATACATGACCCCTGAATTTCGAAATGCGTTATACAATTGGGAATATGCAAGTGGAGCAGAAACAGATGAAGCTAATAGTATTCCATATCAATTACAAAAATTATTCTTAAACCTGCAGGTACTAATTCTATAACTGTTCATAGTAATGTATGTCGTGATTCCACTTTTAATAAGATCTGTCTAAAAAAAACTTATGTTTGCAGACATCGTCAAAATCGGCTGTGGAAACGACAGCGTTAACAAAAAGTTTTGGTTGGAATTCTACAGAAGCTTGGCAACAACATGACATTCAAGAACTTTGTAGGGTGATGTTCGAAGCATTAGAACAGAAATTTAAAAATACAGAACAAGCTGACTTGATCAACAGATTTTATGAAGGTATAAATCAGTGTTATTATACGCATTGAAGAGTAGTTTGTAATTTGGTTTCTATATTGTTAGGAAAGATGATTGATTATGTGAAGTGTCTGGAATGTGGAACCGAGAAATCTAGAGAAGATACTTTTCTTGATATACCGCTACCAGTAAGACCGTTCGATAGTAACGTGGCGTACAATACTGTTGTAAGCTTACACAATACGTTTTCAGTGAATACAATAATGTATGAATTTAGTATACATAAAAGTATATTTTAATAGGAAGCAGCCTTAAAAGCGTTTGTTCAGTATGAAACATTAGAAGGAAGTAATCAGTATCATTGTGAGAAATGTAATAAAAAATGTGATGCACACAAAGGATTAAAGTTCACAAAATTTCCATATCTTTTGACATTGCATCTAAAACGATTTGATTTTGATTTCAAAACTTTTCACCGAGTTAAACTTAACGATAAGTGAGTCCGTACAAATTGATATTCTCGTTTAACATATTCTATAGATTTGTTTTCATATTCCGTCTTTGTAATTTCAGGGTCACATTTCCAAATATATTAAACTTAAATCCTTTCATATTATCTACGACAAATCAGGAATTTTCAGTTAGCGAGGAAACCGTTAGTTCAGTAAAATGCGATGATAGCTCAACAACAGACAGTGGAACTTTGGATCATGATTTTAATCTGTGTGAATATAGTCTTCCTAATAGCAATTGTTCAAGAAATCATGATCTAGATGATGATGACGAAGGTATGTTGATTTTACGAACCCAACACGTGTAGGGAATCACAATGGAAATAATGGTTTGTTTGTTTGTTTCAGGTGTAGACGTGTTAATTAATGATTCGTCAACATCAAACTGCACCGAGCATAATCATGAAAATGAAAAAAATCGTAGTAGTGATGCTGTAAAGGGCCCTTATAATTATGAGTTGTTTTCTATTATGATTCACAGCGGTAGTGCTAGCGGTGGTCACTACTACGCTTATATAAAAGACTTCAGAACGCAAGAATGGCTGTGTTTCAACGATCAAAATGTCACACAGGTACAGAAATACAAATACATCATTGATACCAATTTATGGAATTGTCAAGTTTAAAATCTTATCGATGGTGGTTTCCGCGATTCTACGTCATGTAGATATTATTATTAAGGTTTTCGAGTGTAATCCATGTCCTTTTGGAAATAATTATCCGAACGTTCGGCCAGCATGGAGGCTAGCTTCACCAGGGGCCGGATAACACATCGATACCTTGTAGTGTATTTTGTGCGGTTTGTCTCACGTTGATCAATTACAATCTCAGCTACATATCGGAAGCTTATGTAAATACAGATTTTTATGGAATAATTTGCAGGACTGAGATCAAAAAGAAATTTATTTAGGTTATTAAGGGTTTTGTCACGCTCGAAATTGAATGAAAACTTTTTGTGTTTATCGATATCGTTAAAATGTCGATGGGGTTTTAATTACAGATCACAAATGACGATATTCAAAAAACATATGGCGGTGGTCCAACTAGGTCATACTACAGTGGAGCATGTAGTAGTACTAATGCATATATGCTGATGTACAGACAAATTGATCCTTCTCGTAATGTTTTGCCTATGCAAGTGCAGGATTTTCCAAACCATATACAGGTAATCGAATCATAAAAATCATATTTGTAATTTATTCTGCATTTTTCGCTGTAATTAAATATTCCTCATTGTTAAATTCTTCAGGAACTATTAAAGAAAATGAAAGAGAACGAGGATAACGATAGAAAAAAAGGCAAAGGGGATAAAATATGTTTTCGAAAGAACAGAAGATCATACCTAGAAACATCGTCTGACGATTTTCTGTTGCCCAAAAGAAAGGTAAATCGAACGATACGTGTAGAAGTTGGCTGTATACATCCCTCGATGGACATAATGGTAGTGGCTCCGGTTCAAATTTTGCCCACCATAACTTGGGCGATGGCCACTAAACAATGTTGGCAAACATTAGACGTACATGGAATAGTGAGCTTGAACAAGTGTCGTTTAGTTTGTTACGATGAGAGCAGGGAATTAATTGTGTGTAGTTACGAAGGATTAGAAGAAAGAACTTTCAACAGTATTTGGAACAGGACAGAGTACACTTTGTTCTTAGATATAATGAACGAGAATCAGAAGGCCGAGAAAAATCAGCACGACGGTATGCGCACGATTATTTTTCAATAAATGCCTAATTATAGTAAATCCACGAAAATAACATTTTGTCCGTCTAATACACAGTGATTTGTACAAACGTGTGTACTCTTGACGTGACCGAAAAGAAGATCACAGAAGGCCCATTCCACGTGCGGGCTTTACCCAGCCAAACTGTCGGAGAATACAAAAGATTGCTGAGCAGTTTATTCGGTTTGCCTTTGAGTGAAATGACAGTCATTTTACGAGGACAAAAAACCCACCTAACGTTGCTGGAGTATGATGATGTTAAATTGAGCACTATCGATTTCAGTGATACGATTGATGTGTTTGTGTCAACTATGCGCGATAATGAATGGAAATCATTCCTCGAGACAGCAACTTCATGTGAAATTATAACAAATTATGGAAATTATGATAATGTTATTACAGTGCGTATAAAAATACCGAAACCGAGTGAAATAAATAAAGGTACGTGTTAACACTGACGCTTGCAGAATACATCTGGTGCACATCATTTTGTAATGGTACACACAATGCACTGTACAATTCGGTATAATTATTGTTTCTCTCACAGAGTGGAATATCCCGTCGTTAGATGTGAAATCTAAGGATACGGACAAACCCATTGACGATAGTCCATCCAATGTAAATGTCAACGACTCGCATCGTAGTACCAGCCCAAAGCGCAATGAGGTTCTGAAAATTGACAAGGGCAATGAGGATGTACCACCGAAAACGGCTAGTCCACAGTTAGGAGAAGTCGAGGAATGGAATACGCCAGAGCAGAGTAATAGCGAAGACAGTAGCCTTAGTGACAGTGATAAAACATTAGTCGGGGACGCTCCAGATGACGAGTTTCAAGTACCGTACTTTCAGTACACGAAGACACTTTCCGTCGACATATTAAATCCAATTTGTATGGAACAGTGGGACTGCGACGACGACGATAAAGAACATTATTTCAAAGTTACAGACAGCGAATGTACGGGTTTCAGTTTCGTTTGATTGTAGGAAAAGCATAGTTTCGAATGGACGATAACGGTTTTCTTCCTTTGCAGATCTGAAATTGGAAGTAGCCAGAAGGATGAAGTACAGCACCTTCAAGAAGAAACTGGAACGGTACGTCGGTGTACCGTCGGAATACTTTAAGATTTTTCACAACTCCCGAGACCTCGACGATCTCGAGTGCGATAGCTTGCAAGAGAAGCTTGTATTTTACAAGGAAGACCAGATCCTTCATGTGAAGATCGGTCGATTTTTCGAATTCAAAACAGCAATATATCAGTTGCGTCCCAATCCGGACGAGGTGCGCGTACACGAATTGATATAACGTTCATAAAATGTATCCTTCAGTATTTTTTCTGTTTGGCTAAACATGTCTCCGTTTGAATGTATTTGTAGATATACAAGTTCTTAGGAGAGTGGATCTTTTGCAAGGATATGACTGTCGCCGAGGCGAAGAAAGAGATCCTAGCGGATATTAAACGAAAACACGATATAGATATACCATTCGAGAGATGTCGATTGAGGAAAAAATTCACGGAACTACCGGCCACAGTGTATGTAAATGATCAGAAACTCGAGGATTTGCAACTGTATTCAAACACGGAAATGGTTATACAAAAGTTACCGGATAAGGATCCGTTTACAAGCAGTAGTCAAGTTATAGTACGCGTCCAAAAGTATATCGCTGGAAGAACGTTGTGCGGTTCGTTTCAGGAAATCGTTGTGGATGGAAAGTCTATAAAAGAAATTAGGAAAAAGGTGTGTAAATTCTGATAATGAAACCGTCACACAATGTGTTTCTTAAAAACGTATACAGACCTCCCTTTTTTTACAACTGTTGAACCTTTTTTTTTTTTTTTCTATTGTCTCCTGTCCCCTGTTAAAGTGGATCCCACGTGCCATGAAACGTCCGTGTACAGTACACTGTATAGGGTGTTAACGATTCTTTAAGCATCAATAATAATTTAATAACCTTTTTATTCTTCTATTTAGTTGTCTGAAATTTCGGATATTCCGGAGGAACACATTGAGATAGTAAAGATAGATAGTGAAATGCCCGTGTTCCCTGCTTTGGATATTGACGAGAACACAGTCTGGTACGGGTACGATTCAGATGTTGAGTTTAAACTCGACAATGAAACTGGACTACTATATAGGTACGTATGACGTATGGAAGAGAACTATGATCGCGATAATGTTATTACTGTTGAGGTTTTTAGGGTGTAAACTCGATACTTTTGAAGCGAATTATATATTGCGATAACTGATGTGTGCCATGTAGTAGTCTGGTTAACCAATGAAAATATATAATTGGTGACCACTGAATCGAAACGTAAGGAATGTACGCTTTAATAGTTAATCCGTTACCTGGCACACACGAGTATTAGTTTGTTATATGAACTTTGATTTATCTAGTTTCAATGCTGGTGAAACCGTCGGTGAATTTTTCCAGAAGGACTCAAAAGCCTCTACAAGTAGTGACTGTATGCTGCTAGATAACTCTGTTTCAGATAACAATATAAATACGTTACGCATTTGGTTTCAACAGGGATAACAGGCATAACTGGGATTTGCCAAAACCGATGAGGCGAGATGATTACAGCTTGAGAATTCAAGAATTTGGTCGTGCAGTGGTAAATCATTCAAGCCGAAAAGACACCGCACTTAGAATACATTTGACCACCACAGAATGATCGTCCACTGAACATACACGTTCTGATAAACAACTGTTAAATAAGCACGCGTGGGAACATGAAAACAATTGCGTACAAAATGATTGCAACGTGTCAGGTATTTGTGAAATCGAGTATTCAACAATCACCAGATATTCTGTGCTACGGTAAGCCTCCTGTATATCAAAGCATTCGCGTTCCTAGAATCGCTCCCGCTTGGCTGCTCGGATCGATCGGTTTCGTGAAATTCTTCGGATTTCGGAAACATTGCGTATTACCTTAGAGATTTTAAATCTGGATTGTTGCGTCTCGTCACGAGGTTCTTTTTTTTTTTTTATAACTTTAAGGATCGTAAAGCTGCCAATTGCTTACGGATTATTAAGTTATTTTACCATCTATAGAATTCTATCGAAGAGCACAAATACTAATGAAGTAAGGGTAAATCACTGATGGTAGTGAGGCAAGGGAAAACTTTAGAAAGGGAATCGAATTGTTTGGTGATAATCCGAATTTAAATTATGGACTTCTTACAATTTACATGTATGTAACTGATAAAAGATTCGGAGTTCCTGCATCTTGCATTTTCACGGAATCCTGAACACCTCTCTTATCCCTAAGAATTTTGATACCTTCACACATCTGTATCAAAAAGTTTTAAGGGGAATTCTCAAAGTCGAATAACTAAGAGATTTTTAACGTCCAAATGCAGCACAGAGTATATCTATTTGTTGAAGAACATTTATCTGACACAACAATAATTAACCCTTTTAATGCCAGTATAGGTTAAACTGCATTCTTATGACAGAATTGTCATTTATATGTTTCTTTTTCTTCCCACAATTTAATTTGGTAGTAGTAGCGTTTACAAACATTACAAATTCGATTACAATTTGTTCTTTCGAAGCAACAAAGTTCCTTCGTTTGAAAAACGTTTAAAAGAGTGAGGATAAGATTATAGTATATAATAATGTTTCTGATAACCTTTTGTTGTTTAAAGTCAGAACTAACGCCATTATTATCAAATTAAATAGAGATTCTTCCATATGATTATTAAGATTTGTCCTGGCTAGGCATGTATCCTGCAGTATGTTTTAATTTATTTAAGTATATATGTTTATTCATTCATTATATATGTTACCGGTACATAGGAATCTGTGCCGTTTGGAGAACCAAAAAGTACATTTAGCCATGGCATTGTTGTTATTTCTTACAAATCTCAGAGTTTTCAATCTAATGAAAAAGATTCTTCAAGGAAGTCCATCAAATTTACATTTGTATGATAGATCAGTTGCTTGTAAATAATAAAACTTGTGAATCGAATTTCAGCATCTTTCTTCATGTCAATATCACCACACATTCTAAACAGAACATAAAGATACGTTTCGTATTTTCAATTGTATAATAATGCACTGCATGTATGTAGGGCTTCACTCTCCTCTCTGCATTTATCGACAGTTCAACTCGGCGTTATTTTTTTCTCCGTTAACAATATCACCATTGGAAATTACGGTGCTGAAAGGGTTAAATACGAAGTTGTTAATCCTGGTCATTATTAGATCGTTTTGATAGACTGTTCATAGATTATTTATTAGTTCTGTGCAATTGTTTTGCATTCGAAACCAGTGTGCATTGAATAATAATCAACAATGAACAGAGATGCAAAAGAATTCATTGAACTAAAAGAGAATTTTACGAGATGTGCATTCTCTTCGTTACAATATCAGTTGTATGGCGGTTTACAATGTTCTCACAACTTTTGAATATGTCTCTAATTTATATTTATTGTATATTTGTTACATGAATGCCTACTTCGGATTGTTTATGATCTATCAGCAATCTGTCAAAGACATGACAATCTAGATGTCTATATTCAAACGAGAAATAAAAGAAGAGTCGTAACTTTTGGTACAGAGAATCTATTACTAAAACGTATCACTAAGTAGTTGAGAAAAAATTTTTATAATGTATTTTCATCAATTTCAATTACCTTCAATTGACTTTCATTGAATTTCTTTTTATCGTAAATACTCATCCTCGTCAACGTTTTAATTAAATATAATGAAAGTTAACAAATAATCGGAATTATTTCCTAGTGTGTTCTGTATTATAGAGAAATTTTATACACAACTAGCAAAAGTAGTTGTTATTAGAAACATTTAAATTGTTTGCTCGTAATTATCATTATGATGTGAGTTCAAGAATGAAGTAGAAAAATGGAACGTTTAGTGTTCAATGCGTTTTTTCAGTTTTCTTTTCTATTTTGCCACTCAATTTTATTTGTGATATTTGGAGCTTAAGTTTTGTCTGACAATTTTTCTTATAATTACTAGAACAGAAAACTACTAGAAATGTGTTCATTAAGTAAAACAGTGGATATGTGCAAATAATAATTACAACTTGGCATTGTATGGATTCGAATTAATAATTTTAATGTTTCTTATTTACAAAAGAAATATGGACCTTCAGTATCATAGAAACTATAAAGTATTTTATTTTATCAATTTATGCAAAAGGTGCTCATACTTATCATCTTAAATGTTTAAATCTTCGAATTGATTATAAATATTCGTGTAGCCTTAATGAACTCAGTGAAACACTTTAATATTTGCACATACCTACATTAAAAGTAAACCTACATACTATAATAAATCGTATTTTGGTCTTTTTGTAAATGAGTTCATAACAAAGGGTATCACACATTATAAGTACAACTGTATTGAAATTATGTTGTCCAGAATTGAGCAAGCATTATACTTTGTATCACATGTTATAGTTTGAATCAAATTGTATTTATAACCATTATTATTTTAAATTATATTCTACATTTATGGGTTACTAATTTTTCTGCCTTAATACGATTGTTTCTTTGACGAATTTTCAATTTGATTTTTTGCGTGACTAGTTTACAATGATCTGAATAAAAATTACGTTGAAACTGTTGTTTCTTAAATATAAGTTTTATTCACCTTCGTCATATATTAAGTCATTGAATAATAAGTTACATTTAGTGCATAAGTAATAAATTACAGAAGTTAGTGGCGCCCTGGTGGGGGCCTAGAGACCCCCACAAACTTGTCGTTTTTCCGTCATCTTGGATTCAGAAAAGCTCCGGAAAAATTTGGATTTATGGGACATTTGGTCGCGCCTCCACCACTTGGTGGCGGAATTGAAACTACGCAAAGACGCCACCAGATGGCGCTGCTTAAAAGTTTTAAAATTAGTTCCAATTTCCGCCACCGACTGGTGGGGCGCCACAAACGTGCAGATTTTTTCCGTCATCTTGGATTTTGCAAAAAGCGCGGCAAAATTGGGATTGATGGGACATTTAGTGGCGCCCTTCACCACTTGGTAGCGGAAATTGGAACTAAATCCAGAACTTCTTCCAAAACTTAAAAGTTTTAGAATTAATTATTTTGTTATTATTTATTATTTCTTATTACTTTTTTGGTTAATCGATATTAGGAATAGCAGTGGACATAGTGCCGGGATTAATGAATAACGCATATGTATGATTTGACTGTTTTTTATTGAAAAAATTGTACGAAAATATACAATTTCCAATAGCATTTCTATAAATTTAACAACAATTGCCGTAAGTACTACATACATGATTTTACAATATATTTATAATAATATTTCTATAGATTCAATGAAAGTGCCATGCAATATGGCACCAAAAAATTGCTCCTGATCTGTTTTATAATATTCAATAGTCAGATATCTTAATAACAATTTATTAACAAGGAGCAATTGAAATAATGTTGTTACATACAAGTTAAGTATGACTTCATACAGTAGGCGCTCGTTCATTAATCGTGTTATCGATTCGACGCGATTTCGCACGTGTCTCTGTACTGAGTTCGCGAAAAGAAACGGCAGCTCTTTCCAGCCGTGGTTCATTAGCACACGAGTAAATTAGTGCCTGCGGTTCAACGAGCCAGTCCCCATAGTTGTATTCCAGAGGTGGAACGAACCGAAGTATGTGTTCGACGGGCATTCACGATGCGTCGTGCACGTGTATAGAAGGAATGCGTCCCTTCTTCCTCCTCCTCCCCACGCATATGCTCATTGTTCGACCCCTTGGGCGCGGTTCGATTCGTCTGCATTTCAGAACCGATCCAATCTTTCGTTTTATAAACCTGCAGACAATCTTCTCGATGCACTTTTTACTAGTGGACATTTTTACCAAAACCATAAACGGTCGTAGAGCCCATATTTGCGAATCTTGACCTAATATTTCTCTCTCTCTCTCTCTCTCTCTCTCTCGGTATTATTCGTTAAACAGCAACGAAACTTCTATCATCTATTTTTAACCCTTTAACGATGTTCGACGAGTATACTCGTCATGCGGAAACGACCACTTTTTAGGTAATGACGAGTATACTCGTCGTGTGAAAAAATAAAATACCTTTTGCTGTACAAAAAATTTTAGTAAAAATTTGAAAAATATGTTCATTTTGTTGGAATAATGGAATCAATCGGTTACACATTTTCAAAGTAAAATTCCATCGTTCAATTCATTCTTTAATTCTTAATTCTTCGATTTCTTTTTCATTGTCCAACCACCCCCCTCCCCCCTCTCAGTATTTTTTCATTCCCATGCTTTCTTTTTCTTTCTTTTTTTGAGAGCTGCACGCGAACCATTAACGTTCTAGGACACTTGCAGATAAAGCACGAAGGGCTGCTGGGGGGGCGAGCTCGACCCTATCAGCCGCCGTCAACGAAGTCCTGTTCTATCTCTCCTGAATTCCTGAACGCTAACTCACCGTGTCTCATTGTGATGTTGATGTCACGATGGGAGCGGGGCATGACCGCGCATCGATTCAAACGACTTAAATGGAAATTGAAAACCAGAATGCATGCGAGCTGGCCACCCGCCATTTTGTATTTAACGATCGTCGTCGATAAAAACGAGCTTAACCATTGTTCACCCGTTATCCGAGGACGATGAATTACATACATTTAATCACGCTGTTCCATAAGTCCCAAAATGATGGAACTAAACCCGGTTGTTTTTGTTAATCACCCTTTTAACTGTTTTTTCCTTTCATTTCGAAAACGTGCACATGTGCGCTTAGTTATTT